GATGCAAAAAAATGCGATATTTTATTTTATGAAGATCAAAAAACTGCAAGAACAATGATAATTGACAAAATAGACAAAAAATATCAAAAAGTCTATTCCAACAGAGAGTTTTGCAAAAGGAAAGCCAAGGAGTTAGAGCAAAAGGAAGAGTCTGCCACAAAAATCTCAAAGTTAAAACAATTTTCATCAAATAGTAATTGTATTAATGAAAATCAAGATTTATTTTTGTTAGAAAATTTTGATAATGAAGAATTTCAATATAATAATTATGATGAAATTGAAAAACTATCAACTAACATAAAACAAAATAAAGTGACAGTAACAGTAAATATTGATGAGCTTATTAAAAAAACTTCAACATTTTGTGGGCGTTTTGGAATTTCTGTTGGAGTACAGACAGGATTATTAGCATTATTTTTAAGATGTGGAAATATCAATCTTAATGAAGTAAAACTTTCAAAAACAAAAGTAGAAAAAATAAGAAAAGATTTGTATGTAAGTGAATCAGAGTTAATTAAGGAAAAAATAAAAGAAAAATGTAAAAATAGTAATTTAATTTTGCACATTGATACAAAAAAACTTACAACTTTAAATGAAGACTATATTTCTGAAGTAAGCGAACGTTTAGCTATTGTTGTTACAAGTCCAGACTGGGATTTAAATACAAATGGAAAACAACAGGATGAGCTGCTAGGCATAGTTGAATGTCAATCGGGGAAAGGATATGATCAAGCATTGGCATGTTTTAATGTTATAAAAAAGTTTGGAATTGAAAGCATTATAATTGGGATTTGTGCTGACACAACAGCATGTAACACTGGTTGTAATAAGGGTTGTATAAGTAATTTAGAAGAACTTTTAAATCAACCTCTGTTAAGACTTCTTTGTAGAAAACATTCCCAAGAAAGACATATTTTACATGCAATAAATGCAATCACTAAAACAGAAAGCAAAGGTCCATCAAAATCTATTTATACGAGATTCAAAGCTGCTTGGCCAATGCATTATGAAAATGTTCAAAATAATATGGATCAGTTATCAAAGTTTCCGTGGTGCGAAGTTAGTGGAACCCCAATAGAAGATATGGCTAAAAAAAGTTTATCTTTTTGCAAAAAAGCTTTGGAACTTAATACTTTTCTCAGAAATGATTATAAACATCTGTGTCAATATGTCATTGTTTTTCTGGAAGGAAGG